GGCTTCTTGCCGCGGCCCAAAATCTCCACCTCATCGCCCTTCTTCACAATACCCTGCTCAACTCGGCCAGTGCACACAGTTCCTCGACCAGAGATGGAGAACACGTCCTCCACAGCCAAGAGGAAAGGCTTGTCAGTGTCACGCTCTGGCGTTGGGATGTAGTCATCCACAGTCTCCATCAGCTCCAAGATCTTGTCGACCCACTTGTCATCACCTCACGGGCCATCGGCACAGGATCTTGCTCGCTGTCCCTTGTTTCCGACACAAACAGAGTCTGGAACGGGAAATGAATGAGATGAAAGGAAGGTGCTTCTGCAAAATGTTTGGACTTCATTCAGCAGAGGTGCCTTTCTTGGTTCCTGGGTTGCTCTTCATGGCTTCCAGGGCCTGCAAGGCAGATCCTGCGCACGGCAGCAGTGATGCAACATTATCTGATTTGTTCATGCAAGCGAACAGTTCATGGAACCTTGCAAGATGATTCTTCTCCTACAGAGGTGGTTGTCCACGTTCATGTTGCTTTGTTGGAGCATACGAATGCACATCTCTCGTCTTGTTCACAGTGCGAACGCCGTGACTGAAAGTCCTTGCACGAACGGAGTGTCGTCACCAGGGAAGCCATACTGGCTCAACCTGAGTAAAGCAATGCCACCAAGTTTCAGTTTCTATCCACTCATCTTCTCTCAAATCATTCATCTGCACAACAGAGAAGCTCAATTCAAAAGTCTTTGATCGCCTTTCAGCAGCTTGGCGTCCAAAAAGAGAGATGTTTAAGATGTTTAAGTGTGAGTTCTTGTTTTAAGATTTAGCCTCCGCATCTTCGGTCAACAGTTTGGTGAACGAAGTGGTAGCTGAAGCCATGTTTCACCGTCTCCTTCCGCTCTTCTAGTCCTGGCATCGCTACTAGGAGCAAGGACACTACTAGGGGCTAATCTCCTAAGTTCCCGGACATCTCACGGGTTTCCAGCTCGACCAGCTCTAACAGCTCCTCATCATCCATCATGTCCACCTGGGCGCCACGTGCGGCCGGCCCAAACGTCCCCGGTAAAACCACCTCCATCGTCCCAAACGTCCTGTTTGCGTCCGACTGGGGCCGATGTCTTGAAAAAACAATGAAAAACACTGGTGGTTGATCCATGATCTTTCATGATGAAATGGCAAAGAAATGGCAATGTCTTTCTTTCATGATCTTTCATATGCTTTCATGGTTTAGAAATTGAGCTCATAAAGGCCGGATCTTGTTTCATGAGCAAATCCACCTTTTGCTCAAGCATCTCTGAGCTTCATCAACTCGAGCTCTACTCGACTGTCAAGATCTTGAAGCAGCTCTTCTTAAGGTACCGGCGTTTGAGGTAGGTTCAGCGAAGTTTTACAACTTGGTATCAAAATGTATCAAATGTGAAGAAATGCCATTCTCTCTCTGCCACATCAAGAAGAGCTTAGATGGGTCAATTCAATCAAGATGCTTAATAAACAAAGCTGCTGTAATTTGAACATCGCCTTATAATCACCTTTAATCACCTGTTTTCCCCCGAAGCCTGAACGCCGCGTGAACGCCCAGGACTTCGCCTTGTTCATGAAGCAAACCAGCTTGGGCACGCCCACCTGCACCAGTCGGCGGAGCGCGGTCCAGACGCCGAGGTCCGGCGGCGGAGCGCGGCGGAGCGCGGCGGAGCGCGGCGTCCGGCACCTGCTTCGAGAGGAGAATGTGCTCGCGCGTCTGGGCCATGGGTCCATCTGGGGAGGAAATCACCAGAATTCCTCCATCCATTTGGCATGCTCCTCCAGCAAGCGCGAAGGGTTGGGGGAGTGGGGCAGGTTCTTCTCAAGACAGGGTTTTTTGCCGTGGAAGCTCAACAGAGCAGATGTGGCATGCAATCTGTTTGGTTCACAAGTCATATAACAAGTTCACATCATCTACCCAAAGTAGATCTTTCCTCCCCAATGGACAGAAACGTCTGCCCCTTCTTGGTGTTTTTGTTCATCGGTGCTGGAATCTGTCTCCAGAAAAGAAATCCCAGGGATGTTGTGCCCAAACGAAATCCATGTGTGGTATGAAAGTGTATGAAATGCGACCATGTCAAGTGATTCTCTGTCAGACATGTCATGATGCTTTCGTGAAGCGGGGCGGTCCTGTGATCATGTTCTTCACATAGTCTGCATGCCCTGGGCAGTCCACGTGACAGTAATGCCTGATACAGCTTCCAGGCGGCCGAGACGACCGCACCCCTGACCGCCCCAACGGTCCACAAACAAGTGGTGTGCCCAAAAAGCGAAGGTGCAAGAGCACATAGCAGACATTGTTAAGTTAAAATCACACGGGTGAGCAAAAACGTCCGAGACTCTGCAAAGCACGGCATGCACAATTGCAAATTGGCCGGAAAAAAAGAACTGACCGAACTTACCTCGCCTGTTCTCCGTCTCGTACTCAATGTGGGAGGCGTTGATGGTGATACCACGCGACCGCTCCTCTGGGGCGTTGTCAATCTCCTGCAGTGAACTGCACCGTTCCTCTGACCACGTGGCCTTGTCTGACCTGACCTGCAAGAATTGGTGACCTCAATTCAACACCATGTCAAGGACTGAAAATGGATGAAATCGAACGTGTTCTCCAAAAATGAAGCGGCCGTTCTTCAAGAAATGGACCCATCTCTTCATAAAAAGCACAAGTAAAAGAGATGGTCGTCTCAGGGGGGGTTGTAGGGATTGGCAAATTAAGCAACTTCCTATGTGTTTGAGGCGGATCGTGTCAGCCTCATAGGACTTCTGCTTCGTGTCGCCAGAGGTGCTAAATCTGCAAAAAAGGTGCAATCTGTTTGACCCCTGTTTGACCCTAACGATGGAATGGACCAAATGAATACACTTCCAGAGATGAAAAATGTGTTGAACAAGTTTTGGGGGTTACGTAGGTCTTGATCCAAAGCCATCTGAACAGTCCAAGGCTGATTCTTGCATACATGTGCTGTGTGGTATCTGGGGCTGGGACTGGCCGCAGACCAGAGAGATGGCAGCAGACAGAGTGGTCTTGCCGTGGTCGACGTGGCCAATGGTGCCGATGTTCACGTGAGGCTGATGCGAATACACAGTACACAAATTATGTGCTGTTCCAAATAGATGACTTTGACGACTTTGATGAAGCTCAGAAAGGAAAAGGTTTGTCATGAACAAGTAAATCTAGTGGCGGCCTTGGATTCGGCATGGCAAACCACTGCAGAAGCCCTGGTCTGGCCCACCTTTGCAGTGACAGCGTTAAGAGAGCTTGGTCTGAAAGGCTTCGTTTCGCATTGAGCTGATGCTAGGAGCCAGACTTTTCGGCCAACTCTGCTCAATCCAGCCTTCAAACTTCAAAAGGAACGTGCAAACAAGAGCTTCTCAAAGGCTCAGCGACAACTACAGACTGAATGTGATCATATGCTCATGTGTTCCCTGTAAGTTTGGCGATCCTCCACAGCATCAATCTTGCAAAACGAACCAAGGCCCTTGCACCCAGTGCTGCAGCACCCATCACAAGTGCCTCTGCAGCGGATTTTGCGCGTTCTTCAACGACATCGCATGTTTGGATTCTTCAACATGAGATGTGTTCGCACAGGGGCACATCAGTTTCCTTTCTGGAGTTGTTGTTCTGTGGTCTTTTTGAGACCAAGGAAGGCACGAAGGGCATGGCTTGGCCAACACTTGCACCAGAAGATGATGCCTCAGAAAATATGAGTTTCCCAACAAGTCTGGAGGAAGCACCACCTACAGCAGATACACTCCGACGAACAAAAACTAGTCATCCAAGGCATATCCAAGTGGCTCATGTTCATCCTTTTCCACTTCATTCCACTTCCATGTTAGTGAGTCGAAGTGACAGCCAGTAGCTACACAGGTCAACCTGCAATGCCCTGCCGGGACCTGCAAAGCCTGGGGCAACGGCTTGGCCTCTCGCAGATCGCGCATCCTGTCCAGACCACCATGGTTTCGGTGACAAACGTCACAGGGTATCAAAAGCCTGCAAAAGAATTGTGACGCATAGTCTCCAGATGGAAGATCGTGTCCCAGACATTTTTGGGATCCATATTTCTTCCACCTACTTTACAAACAGAATGACTCTAAGTGTACCTGCATGTGCCAAGCACCGGCACCAACCGTGACCATTTCAGGAAGCACCGGCCACCCGTGTCCCGCCTTCAGTTGAGCGGGGCCCAGCTGCAGAGTCACGAAGCTGGTGGATCCAAGGACCTGCAGACGACCCGGCGCGGTCCGTGGCGCGCTCCGTGGAGCACTGCGCAGTGCGAGCATTCGGTGGGGGACCCGTCGTGTGGAGCACTGCGCGGTCAGCGCGGTCAGCGCGGTGGACGAACGTTTTCCTCCAGTTGTCCGACGAACGTCCGGACATCTGATTCAACTGCAAGGCACCTGTGGCTCAAGGTGCCGGAATGAGGTCATTCATCAGGTGGATCACACAATCACACAAGGCTTAGTCAGGAGGTACCGTGGACCCAAGAAAGAATCCTTCGAAGTAATGCATGTTGTTTATATGTGTTGTTGAAACAGAGGTTCATATCTAAGATAGCCGCGCCGGGGTCTTGTTTGTAGTTGAATAGTTCATCTGCGTCACGCGTACGATGCTCGCTATGGGCGCAGCGTTGCAAGAGACAAGTTTAAGGTTTGAAGTGAGTAGAGGTCCACCAGCACGATCCCGCTGGTTGCATGCTGAAGGCCCGAAGGCTCGCTCCTCAAAACCCTCACAGAGTTTTGACACGGCCGAGGCACGACCGCCATGGTTCCAGCCAAGGCAATGGATACAACGCTGGAGCCTGAAAAAATGCCACGAACCCTTCGGGGCGTTGCCCCAAAAAGAACAACACCTGATTCCCTGGTTCTTTGGATAGGGCAGTTGTAGAGCATACCCAGCTCACCTGACTCCCGTTGATAGTTTTTGTGGGATACTTGTTTTGGATGGCAGACAACATCTTTAGGTGAGAATTGTCCTTCATTTTTCTTAGGATCCACGATGGTCCGCGTGTTCCTGATTTGATCAGACGGATGTCATCATGATGTGCTCATGAGGATCCCAAGAGGTTGCAGTATACTTATAACTTATATAAATGTAATATAGAAAGGAACAACCCTGTCAGGAGGTCAAGATACTGTAGCAAAAAAGTCCCAGAAGGTAAGACATCAGTTAAACCATTGTAGGGGATTGTTGGCTTGTTCGAAACGGGTTTGGCAGCCCTGTCAGGTGGTTGCATGAAAAGGGTACACCGATCAAAGAAAGCACTACATCTCACCAAATGAAAAAAGGAGTTGGTCCACATTCTGAGTTTGGTCAACACAGGAGCTGGCACCCCAAGAATCAATGTTTTAAATGGGGTGGCGTTAAAACAACGGAACCCGGGCTCATGTTTACGTGGTCTTTTGAATGGGTCCAAGTCGGTTTCTTTGAAACATGACAGTTTCTTCCAGTTCTTGCTTTACCCTGACGAACAGAATCAACTCTTACAGGACCAAATTCAATGCACAATCCCGACTCCTGATTGTAATACATTTTTGCTAAAGCAAGGAGAACTCAGGTAGCTCAAGCTACCTTTCGTGATAAACCATATCAGATAACAAAGTCACCTTGGTCTTGAGTCTCCGAACGCTGTCTATCTGCCACTGCCACTAGGTGATGTTTAGTTTACACATACCGTCTCTGAGGACTTGACGAGGCGCCATGCGAATCGCTCGTGTGGCTTGGCCTGGTGGCACCAGGTCAGCCAGGGAGTTCTTTTATATCTTTGACTTCTTAAGGATATCTTGGAACACTCAAGGACTGGCATCCCCCCTGCAGACGACCAAGGAAGAACCAGGTCGACCAGAAAACCAGGAAGACCAGCACACGAGGTCTAGCAGCGACGCTGCCGAAGGTCGGGTGCCGAAAGAACCGAAGTGTCGACAGGCACAACAAAAATGACGCAAATGGTAACAGGGACCGGAAAAAAGAAAGATCAAACTCATTCAAACTCTGTGAGTTTCAAAGGTTGCAGCAACCTTAGGCGGACCATATGAATTCAGGCGGAAGTGGGTCATCCGGCCAATTGAGTAATCAATTTATCTTGATGCAGAAATACGGGATGTCGAGAGATTCCGCCAGTAGACTTGCGTTCAGGACCTAGGTGAAGCGTTCCGGTCGTGAAAGGTGTCTGTGGATCACTCCGTACTAAGGCAATATTAGTCATGGCTGTGAGAAATTGAAAGCATACGCTTACAAGCAATGAACACGCATATGCCGCTGCATCTTACAAAGTTCCCAAGCATGAGAAGCCACCCCAGCTCCCCAAGAGCACGAACGGGCAACCGCTAGATGAAGATCATTACACCCATGGCAAGACACATGAGCTGGAACCCACTTTGCAGCCGGAGGTCTTTTTCTGCCGCAGCCTCAAGGCATTTCCGCATTTCCCTGGATACTAAGGACCCAGGTGTTCAGATGTTTTCAGGTTCGTTAGTGCCAGGGTCGCATCGATCGCTCGAAACCGCGGGCCGGACGAAGCGTTGACCGGGTGACGAGGTGACGGGTGACGGTGACCGGAGGACACCGGCGGGTGCCGGATCAGTGACACTGAGCCCAACCAACCAACCAACCAACCAACCAACCAATTGCATCCTATTAATATTGTACTGATCATGGAAGAAACTTCTTTCCAAATTCCCCTTAGACCAGGTACACCAAGTGCCCTGCGACATGGCACCAACTCCCCAGCGCCGCGCCTGTTTTGCGCCCGCCCTTCCTGTTATGAACCAAACGGCTGCGTGGCATCCCCAGCTACGACCATTTCTGTTGGCTACGACCCGCCGAGCTTCGTCCCCAAGCTGAGGGGGCGTTAAAGCTGGGGGGCCTTGGAGGGGCCTCTGGCTACAAGAACTCACTTATCCCTACAAGTCCAGTCTGACCCAGGTCCAAAACCTGGTCTAGACTACTTCCTATTCCGTATCGGTTTTGTGTTGTTCCATCTCCAGTAAAATTTGAGGTCTAACTGACTTGAAGGGTGTATATACCTTAAACCTCGGCCTTGGGCATTCGGCATGGGCATGCATCTAGAACTCTTTGCCCCATTCAAAGATGTCCTGCACGGCGTCTGCGTCGTCACCCGGATGCTGCACCTGCTGAAGCGCTGCTCTCCAGCTCTCCTCAGGTCGAAAACACAAAGCAGAGAAGAAAAAGTTGAAAGTGTGGGCAGTTGCAAGTGTTCTATCACATGGCTGCGAAAGTCATGTGATAAGGGGCAGCTGTACTCCCTCCAATCCCTCCAACACTTGGAAGTCGCACAGATACCTTTGGAGATCTTGGAGGGTCATGTTGCTTCCTCTACCGGTCACATTCAGCTTTCACCATTGTCTGAAGGGTCTTGCCTTTCACGGGATCCACATGTGTTACACCCAGGAAAGGCACGTCCTCCTCGCCATGTCCAAAGCTCTGGCAGCACCGCACATCGCCGACGCCCCAGCCGACGCCCGACTCTTCGGGTCAGAAATCCAAACGTGCTTCGGTGGTGCTTCCGCTGCCTAGGGGCCTAGGGGCGCCTCATGTAATGATATACTCAGATTTACGCGGTGATCTGATGTCATCTGTGGGAGGTCTCCGCTCTCGCAACGGCTTGGCTTCGGTGGATCCTTGGGGGGTTCACACCGAACAGCTCCGGCATCACTCACCAGCGCTCCGAGGGGCGCTGGTGCCGGCTGGGCGTCGTTTTTGCAAGGAAACCCCACGAAGAAAAGATAAGAAGAGCGCATCTCTTCATCATTGCAGGCTCCTTTTATGTAGTTAAGACATCCCACATCCTTCCAACCCGAACCCCATCCAATGCTTTTTCCGCAATTGACCCTGGCCGGGCATATGAATCAGGTGAAACGTCAGGAGCTCCTTCTATGAAGCTCCAGGTTCGTAGCGGCCGCCCGGACAATGCGGAAGATTGCCCGACAGGCTTTCAAAAAAAGTATCCCCAGAGATGAACTTGATCAAGCAGGACTTTCAACTGCACTTTCAACCAAGAGTTCTGCAATGTTCTGCATGTGTGTTGCCCGCAGACCGGCACGGCACATCATGCTACATCATGCAACTTCCGCGATGGGAGGTGAAACTCAACACAACCAAGTCTCATCAAAAGCGTTCCTGTCAGTTGGTTGGCTTGAAGTCTGCGTGTCGGTCAAACGACTAAACGACAGGAGAACAGAAGGGTCTGCTAATTCTTTCCGACTTTCTGATAACAGACCCTTTCTGAAGGGTCTGAAGGGTCTGCTAACAGAAGGGTCAGAAGGGTCTGCCGACATGTGTTCTGTATGACTTTCGGCGAAGTCGAATGCTTCCTATACGAAAACATGGGAAACATGACCACCCGCTGCATCGCGTTTCGCCGGTTCACAATGCCACCCGTTTCGGCCACGCCCAGGCGGGGGCCTCTCTACTTTCCCTTCCCCTTCTTCTTCGGTTGCGCGGCCTGTCGACGGGACGAAAGAGGCCGAAGCGGTCGGGACACCTCCGGACGGTCGCGGTCACCGGTCGTTTCTCCTGGTGGGCGAATAAAAGTAAGATAGTAGCAAATAGCTACGGACGTAGCTTCTTGTTACTAGTAGTAATGCCCTTGTTACGGACGTAGCGATGCCCTTGTTACTAGTAGCGATGCCGCTTACTGTCGTCTGATAAGCTGAGAGAAGATTCCTTGTGAGTCTTTCGGTTGGACCCCTCAAATCACATCAACCACTGTGCCACCCTAATCATAGATAATCATAGTGTGTAATTAGTGGTCTTTGTTGGGCTGTAGCCTCCACACACAAGTGATCCGCATGTTCCTGTGGCGGCCGCGGTGGCCTCCGGTGGCGCGTTCTTGGCGTCTTCGCGCGCCTGGGAGCAGATCGCACCGCATCTTCGGGGCGTCGCAGGTGGGTTCCAGTGGAACGGTGGTGACCTTCGGTCGTCAAAAGTGGGACCCATGGAGACCCCCCCCTACCGTGATTCCCTTGATGTCGGTGAATCAGTGATCCTGTCGCGGCTTCATCTGTTCAACGTCTGAACGGGTCCGAAGAAGCACCGGTTTCTCGTTCGCACAACGTCTCCCGAGACACGGATCTCCGGGCAACTCCACGGAAATCCCGAACCTTCTCGCCCGTGATGAGGTGGTCAAAGGTCCGGAACTGGTCCAGTTCTTCCTTCCTGCCCAAAGCCAGAAGGCGCGCACGTGGGAGTGTGTTTTCTTCCTTTTCGCGGTTGAACTGCGCGTCTTACGTAGTACCGCCCCTTTCGTGAGGTTTTCACTGCGTCCCAAGCACCAATGATGGCTTGCAGCACCAGCTGCCCAGCATGACGTGCCTTTCCCCCTCCATCCGGACCGCCGTGCGTAGTACCGCCACACATCCCATCTCCCCTCTCCAGCAGAAGGCGGTGCGAGAGAGGGGGCCAATGAACTCTTGGACCTGGCAGGGAGGACGTGCACGCGGAAGATAGACTCGCAGACCTGGTTGAGAGCACCAGTACCATTATGTCGTCTTTGGTCCGCAAATCAAACACATATCGGCCACGATGGTGTCCCTAGATGTTCCCCAGCAAAGCGGCCAATCTGGGCATGCATCCGTCTCAATGGTTCTCTCTTTGCTTCACATGTCTTCCAACGAACCAACACCCCCGGATGGGCCCTGAAGGGGCCGGACGTGTTGGGCATGAGACCCGTGAGACTTGGAAGCACCACTCCCCGCGGTGGGCCTGGATGGAAAAAAGTCAAAAAATGGTCCCTTTAAAAAGACTATATATATATTATATTATATATATATATTTGGATATATTTGGCCCCAGTGAAGTACACAAAATTCCTGCAATCAGGTACCCTCAAAGGACCATTCCTTTGAGTCTTTGCCTCTTTAGAAGGGTAGACTGGTCTCAGTGGAAACAGGTGAAAACGGGTCGCTTTTTGGTTGAGGTGACACACAATTGAGCGGTTCTTCAAAACCAAATGGACTGTGGTTTGCTGAGAACCAATTCTGCTGGAGAATTTTGGTTCTCATGTGTTCTCTTCTTTTGCAAGTTCCTTCGCATTACTTTGGCGGCTTGCATGTTGGCTTTCGCGCGCCGCAGTCTGCGCAAAACCAGGTTCAGAAGGTTTCCTGACGGAACTGATTTCGCGACCTTTCGCAACGCTTTTGATGCGGGAAATCGTTCGCGACTGCGTTTCACGAGGGCATCTGACATTAACCTCTCTTCAAATTCTTACATCAAAATGTTTGGCCGCTAAGCAACTGAAGAACCCACACTTCCTGGAGCACAAAAGAAAGCAATGCAAAAACCAGACGTCGCTCTTGCTCCTCAAGCGCCGTCCCTCGTGCGACGGCGCTCGCGCTCGGATCCGTTCGGCTCTGCCAGGCCTTGAGCGGCCGATTCTTGAGCTGCTGAACTCTGCGGGCAGTCAGCACCCGATCCACCTGCCACGCAAGCTACAGGAGAGGTGCAAGACTCAACCCAATGGTAAACCAATAGGAGTCTTTCAACCCCTGGCCCCAAATCAGGGCTAGCTCCAATTCGTTCCACAGTTCCACACTTACTTTTGGTACAAAATTCTAAGTTGGGTTTTTCTTGTGCTTCCCCTTCAAGCTGCACCCCCTGTCTCTGTCGCTAATCCCAAGCTAGGCCCTATAAGTTGGTCTTTGGGGATGTCCATTGAGAATCTGTATGCCTTCACTTTGGCTCTGCACCAGCACCTCCCAAAGAACCCTAGCCCTAGTCACAAGAAAGGCATTCTGGGCTGAAGCCAAAAAGGAAACCTGATTGTGATCGGGTCATCAGAGGGCCAACATCGAAAACTAGACGAAGGAGATTGAAAAAGATATTGACTAGTTCCAAATGAAGGCAACTGTTCACTGTGATACCCCAAACCACATCCAGGAGTCATCTACCAACTGGAAACCTTTCCTTGATCAAGAGCCCAGACTGGCCCAGAGCGCCAAGGCACCGTCTGCTTGATAGACCCTGCGGGGTAGCCCTCGCTGACCTCAGGGCTGAAGAGGTTGAAAAACGAGTTTCCCGACCGACTTTTTTGGTGGTGGCATGCCTGGCAGGTCTCCAGATTCAGTCCTCCTTTGCCAGTGGGATTTCATGTCAAGATCATGAAACATGTTGCACCATGTTGCACCTGTGGCGAGATCTGAAAATGATCATCAAACATCGAAACTAATAAAAAAAGAATCTTCCGCATCGCCCAAGGTCGCTGCTCTCGCTAAGGTCGAGATGTTGAGCTTCACCGGATCCACGGTCACGCCGTGATTCTCCATGAAGCGCTGCCACAAGACCACGCGGCTCCCGTACTCCGGGAAGCTCACCCAGACCTCCGGGCGACGGCCGCCCGCGGCATGAGCGGTCTGACATGGTCTGACCGTCCCGGTCTGACCAGATCGGAGGGCAAAGGTTGAGATGGTTTTTAGAGAACGAAAACTAAAACCAAGGAGTTGTTGGAAAACCCTTAGACATCGGGAGATCTCCATGTCTGGCCGCTTCCGAAGTCGCTTGTGTTCGTCGCTGGGGTGTCTCAAAAAACCTCCAGTTGCTTTGACCGGAAAACAGGTCGTTCCGTGGCTCTTGACGTTGAAACAATTCGGTGCGGACCCGTGCCGAGCGTAACGAACGGTCCAGACCGGAACGTTGCGCGTGTAAAAAGCCATGGTGTGCGAAAAACACTGCATGACCTGCTCTATCTGCCACGAAGACTTTCTGAAAAATAGAGCATCTCCCGTGAAATAAAGTATCCCGATGCTGATAAAATCAAACAT